CGGACTTTACGAAACTCAAGTTAGAAGAGGTTTTCGTACTCCATCATCTTTACTAATGATTTTAAAGGTTGAGTAATGTGTGTCTTACGGAACACAAAACGAAACCTTAGAAAATTCAAGAAGTATAAGTTTGGAGTAGAGAAACAACATGACTAAAGTATCTTTTCGATTTGATCGAGGAGAAGAATACTTGAGTTTGAAGTTTCTTTATTTCATGGAGTCCAATTATAATGGATACCTCATAGGACTCATTTGATGGAGTCCTCGAAAGGAAAAATCGAACCTTATTAGATATGGTTAGATCTATGTTAAGTTTCACCACTCTTCCACATATCATTGAGATTATACCTTATTGAACTCGATTTACATTCTGAATAGAGTTCCATCGAAGTCAGTTGTAAAGACGTCATATGAATCATGATGTGGCAAGAGGCCTTGTCTTTAACATATGCGAACCTGGGGTTGTCTAGCATATGTGAAGAAACTTTTAACTGATAATTGGAATCTGAAAGTGAAGAATGTTATTTTGAAGGCTATCCAGCACGAGGATACTATTTCTATCTTCCTGGGGAACATAGAGTAATTGTCTTTAGATAGACAAAGTTTCCAAAAGAATATTATTTCCTTAAGGAACAAGGTCGTGTTGTGATAGAACTTGAAAAGTTCAAGAAAATTCAAAATAACATTGAGGTTCAAGAATTGTCGTTTGGTATTGACAAAGATTTAGAGGGAGGTATTGGTGATTTCCTAAATAGAAATTTGTCATTTGATGAACAACTTCTAGCTAGTGGGAGTAATATGGGTGAAACTGCAAAAGTGCAGCACACTCATATACAACCAATACCTAATGGCTCGGATGTCGTTCATTCTCAATAAACGCATGCAAACGTGATTTTGAGAACCCTCTAATCGTTGAGAAACTCCAACGTACAAGAACCTCTTCAAGATCAGAATGTCTAACAACAAATACAAATAAAAAAAAAACTCCGTAAGGTTGACTAGAACTCGTCGTGAACCAATTAGATTGTCTTTCCTCTTGGAGGATCACGATGATGTAGAGATTCCTAATGAGGATGATCTCAGGACCTACACTAAGTTTATGTAAGACATGGACTCAGGAAGGTGGCTAGATGCCATAAAATCATAAATGGACTGGATGTATATGAATCAAGTTAGAACTTGGTTGGTTTGCCAATTAGGGTTAGACCTATTGGATGCAAATGAGTTTTCAAAAGAAAACAGATGCAAAAGGCAAAGTACAAAACTATAAGGCTAGATTGACTGATAAAGGTTATAGTCAACGTGAAGGCATTGACTATGATGAGACCTTTTCACCAATTGCCAAAATTAAGTCCCTTCAGATTTTACTTGCAATAATTGCATACTATGACTATGATATTTGACAGATGGATGTTGAAATCGCTTTCCTTGATGGAAAAGTAGAGGATGTATATATGATACAACTAAAAGTTTCTTATCCAAGTCAAATTTAAAATTAGTATGCGAGTTACAAAGGTCTAATAGTGGACTTAAGCAAGCCTTTGGGAGTTGAAATATCGTTTTCTACAAAGTTACGTAATTGTTTGGCTTTGTGAGAAGTAAGAAAGATCTATGCGTTTATAGCAAACACAATGAGGATAATATAATTTTATTATATATGTATGTGACATATTGATAATGGAATGATGTTCCTCACCTGCAGTCCTTGAAAGATTGATTACCAAGTACCTTCATTGTTAAGGGTTTGAGTGAAACTGCTATATTCTTGAAATTATGATCTATCGAGACAGATCTAATAGAGTGTTAGAGTTTCACGGTCCATAGTCAAGGTACTGAAGTGCTTCTCCAGTGGACCTGACATCAAGTTGGCAAAGAAAGATTGTCTTTCAGTTGATGCCAAACTTGGGTGCATGAAGAAGATTACATTTGCTTATGCGATGGAGTCTATCATGCATGTTATGACATGTACGAGGTCTACATGGCTTATGCACTTAGTATCACCTATAAATTCCAATAAAATCCTAGGGAGCTATATTGGAAGACTGCTAAGACTATCTTTAGTACATTAGATGGACTAAAGAATATATTTTATTCTATTGAGAGAATAATAATTAAATAGTCTTATATTCATTTCAATGATGAGACAGCGGGTTGGAATAGTTCCAAGTAGTAAACCACTATGAATTCAACCACAAATGCCGAGTACATTGTTGCATTAAAAGCCTATGGAGGCTGTTTGGATACATGAGTTCTTAAATGAACTAGGGGTAGTTCCAAGTGTCATTTATCTAATATCTATATATTATGATAAACGTGTGTGATTGCACGGGCAAAGGAACCAAGATCCAACAACAAAGTAAACATGTACAAAGGCGCTATCATTTATTTAGAGATAACTTATAAAGGAGAAATAAGTTAGAACGTGTTCAAGCTGAACACTACTTGAATGGTTCGTTCACCAAACCATTGTGCATAGTTGAGCATAATAGTCATTTTAAGAAAATGTGTATTAGATACATTGGTGATTGCCTCTAGTTCAAGTGGGAGATTGTTGGTATATGTGCCCAAGAGACAATCATTTTAAGGACATATATACATGATCACATTAATAATTATATTGGATTATAATTATGGTATTGCAATTAATTAAATAATTGTTTGATTCTTTGCAATTTATTAATTAATTGCTCCCTTGAGTTGATACTGTCATTAGCAGAGTGAGATGTTAATTGATAAATTATAACTTTAAAATCGCCTCAATCGATGATCATTAAGAAAGGGATATTAATGATACACGATAGATTGACATGTGGTTTGCATCATATTCTTAGAGAATATAGTATGTCTCACTGCTATGAATAATTGTTATTCGTGATGGACACATGATACTTTAGAGAGTATTGGCATACCCTACCGATAAACCATTTGTTTATGTGTCTATGGGAATATCGTTGTGTGGAATGGTGTAATAGTCCTTTGACTTGAGGTCAATACGCAGTTCATGCATAGAGTGATTTACTTAGACCTAGTCCAACGATTACGCCCTTATGGGTAGATACGGGCTTGTGTTGGGTAGATCACGATATACATGGAATTGGTAATTGAACCAAGATAGGATTCATTCCTCGAATATAGTTTCGAGAGAACACTCGTTTTCTCTATACTGGGTTGATAAAGTCATTGGCCAATGCACGTGATTATATTTGGAAATGGTGTTCAAATGTAATTGATAAAATCAACCAGTGAAATGAGATAAAATGATTAAGCTGTTTGGATAGACACACGTTCAAATCTTAAGCTTAATCGAGTGGTTCGTGAATGAAGAGACCGTACCACTATTGAGTTCTACACTAAAGGTTTGTTTGCTTGTCCATGTAAACGTACTTCATATTTTGAGTTCGTCCTTCGATGCAGTCTAGGAGTTTCGTAAGGATCATAAATTAGATTTATGTCAATATATGAAGGCCTATAGGGTCACACAATATCAATCAATTTTCTGACTAAGAGTGAATCGAGAGTGTTAAATATTCAATTAGATTGGAATATTTATTTATGAGTAATGAGATTATTTTCTAGAAAATATTTAATTAAGTTAAATTAGATTTATACTTAATTAATAATGAAATAATTTTCTATTTGATTGAAAATATTTAAATAAAGTTAAATTAGATTTATATTTAATTAAATTATTAATTGGATTTGGTCCAATTACCTATTGGGCTATAGGGTTTCCTAAGGCCCATATGATTAGGTTTGACCTAATTATAAATACCTCATTATCTCTTCATAATCATTAATCGATGGAACGATGAAAAGGAGAGATAAAAAAGAGAGATCCAAAATCTTAGAGATTGAAAGATCAAAAATAGACACTCTCTAGCTTTCGGGATCGAAGATTCCTAGCTTCTTCACCTGAGAGGATTCATTGGCGTTGGATCGTGCATCGGAAAACAGGATTGCGTGGATACCATAGTCGAGGACAAGACTGAATAACTGTAAGTTTTCATGTATCATTCACGCGATCTAGGATCACATCGAATAGCTATAGCCGGATCTTCGTTGTTGGTAAGAAAAATTTTAAAATTCCGCTGCGCGTACACTGGGTTCGTACGTAAAAAATCCAACATATTTTCCCTTTTTAGGAATTTGTTGTGCGAGTTTTGTGTTTGTGGGTATTCTCCCCTTTGAGTCCACTTGTGGGGTGTGTTCCGCTTGTGCAGTCCGATCATTCGGCTACTTAGTCATTTGAAAAATTATGTGTTTTTATTAATGAAGTATATCATTTCAAACAAAAAAAAAAAAAACACTGTTTCAATGTGATGACGTGTAGATATAGTAATATTCTAGATAATTCTAACACCTCAATAGCTACATCGGTGTTTGTCATGCATTCATCCATACTTAGAACTTAAGTGAACTACATAATTTTGGTACTAGGAACTACTAATACATGTGGCTTTCATGTGGAATTTTTCAGAAAATGGACATCAACACAACAGAAAATGTCGTATGTCTATAATTCCAATGCACAAGGCATTGTAGAAGTTAAAAAATTATGCTGTAACTTTCATACATATGAAGGGATATGTTGTAACTTTCATATATATGAAGGGATCAACATTTCAACACCTTAAAACTCAATAATTTATTATGGATCACCAAGGAAAATGCAATTTCAACATGCGCACCACATTCACATAAATATATATATATATATATATATATTAATTCAAAAATACATAAAATATATGTTAATCCAGATATAATACATGCAAAATGATGAACATACCCCGATGCTCTCATTTCATATACATCACAACTATTAAATATACATACACACTTAATCACGTAGATCATGGTTCACCATATAATAAGTTCACACTCATGTACCAAAAAAAAAAATCCCAATCAAGCGAAGTTCAGTTATAGAAACTTGGAGAGAGGGAAGATTATTACATTGAGAATTGACTTCTTTAAAGCACGAATTATTTAACTAAACATCAAACCAATGTGGTGGCTGTTGGTCCCCTGGAGAACAACCCCGATATCTTCCTCCATGCCTTTAGCATCAAACGGATACCGTGGCTAATAACGATCAGGACAATTAACCCAGCCCACCCGATCATGCACCAGACTGCCACATTACCGCTCGATGAAAGCAACGATCGACCTGGCGTAACAGCGAAAAGTGCAAATACGTACACCACAGAGATGGATATGATGGCGAACCACGTCATCCCTATCAGAAGCCACATGAGCAACTTTTTTGATCCGAACGGCAGCTCGCTCACTAGCAGCAGTATGATGCTGAGAGAGACAAAGAACCCTAGTGTGTTCACAACAGAGAATATTTCGTAAATATCTGTATAATTCCACGCGAATATGGATTCACCGGCCCACATACGAGGGCCCGCGTTGGGCGCAGGGCTTTGTAGTTCTGTGGGATCCTCGTGGTCCTGCCACACGCCACTCGGAGGATTGGCCATGATTTGAAAAGCTATGGTTGCGATGAGAATGGCCACCACCATCAGCGAGCTTTTTGTTTGTTTCAGCCACTTGTCATGGGAATCTTCCTGCCTCCCGAGCTTATTCATTTTAAGATATTTGTGGATCTCTGAGTCTCTCGGGCTCCTTTGGGTTCGATTTAGGATGTCGTCTGGTGTCATCTGGCCGAGGTTGGCTGTGTTCGCGTCCAATCCCGAAACGCTGGTTAAGAACTTGATGGTCTGTATATATACAAATGTGAACATAAATATCAGACTTATAAAATATAAAACTATCATTTTAGATTTACAGTTTTGCTATGAAGCCAACAGTTGACTCAATAGTGGAGCCAACCTTCTATATACAACAAGTAAATCATATCATATTCTCTGATTACTTAAATGACACTAATAATTTTATTAATAGGATATGGTTTATTTGTTGTATATAGAAGGTTGACTCCACTATGAAGCCAACTGTTGACTTCATAGCAAAATCGATAAATTTAAATAATCAGAGAATAAGGTATGGTTTACTTGTTGCATATAGAAGGTTGGCTCCACCATAGCAAAACCGATCATATTTATATCTCTATATTACTACAACAGTGTTGTCTATAAATAACTTTCTAAAATTTTCCACCCAAATAATTATTACGTTACTTAAATTCTAGATTTTCTATTATTATTATTATTATTATTATTATTATTGTTGTTGTTGTTGTTGTTGTTGTTGTTGTTGTTGTTGTTGTTGTTGTTGTTGTTGTTGTTGTTGTTGTTGTTGTTGTTGTTGTTGTTGTTGTTGTTGTTGTTAAATGAATCTAAAATTCCTGTAATACTATGACATATCTAAATTGAAACATACATATATAATTACATCCAAATCATCATAAATCAATTCTATAAAAATTATAGTAAATGAGTTCTAAATTATAAAATAATTAATTATAATATAGATATATATTATATATATAATTGCTAGTAAAGAATTTATATTATGGCATGCTGAGTCATCTTGCTGACTAGGCTAAGTTAGTTAGAGTAATTAGTTAGTTAGCTAAGTTGTTAGTAAGTGGTTAGCTGAGAGAGAGAGAGAGAG